ATGGAACATGCACACCTAAATAATGCCTATTCACTCTCGCTTTGAAAAGGCCTAAGTTCACGGAATGAGTCTGCAGGCATGGAAATCCACTCCATAGCCGTTCGCCATATAAATGTGAAAGAATAACACTTCGTGCGAATTCTTGGAATACTCATAAGATGGAGGTGGAACCCAAGTCTAGTCTCCCGGTGATGGAAATGGAAAGGCGGAATTAAATTATGTAATTTCATCGCACTTGAGGCATAAAGTTACCAAGTCCTGTGTGCCTGTAGAGTCGTCTGCACCCAACAGCCGAAACGCTTGGTAAGTGACAGTACATACTTTCTTGGACTAATTCTTTTACAAGGAGCTTTACCGCTATTTGTAATAGAAATCCATTCGTATTTGTTCATTCAAAATAAAGACACAGACTAAAAGAGCTAACGAATCATTCGTATGATTTTTTTGCCATTCAATATCTGTATTATAACAAGTACAAGTTTAAAGCTTCATAAATGGGAAATTTTGAATATCAATAGGAATCTTATTATAGAAGCGTACACATTGGCCTTTGAATTTTTGAAGACAACTGTCTAGAGAAGCCAGTTTTTTTGTTGCTCGTCTTAGTATTGTTAGAAATTTTCATGGAAAAAATACAATTCTTCGTAATACAAATAACATTTTAATAAATAAAACGCCAGAGTAAGAATGTTAATTTCTTCAAACTCTCAGAGATACTCTGGGGTCCAGTTTGTAAATTACCGGAACACCACGCACAGCGAAGATAATGTCGGAGGTATTTTCCGGAAAGAAGGTGAGTTTGTTATTGTGAGTTCTTTTTATTTTCTGACGATGAAAATGCAAAAACCCATACATATAATATTTTATTTAGTTATATTTGCTAATCTCTTTATATACTATATATTTAAAAATATAATATTGATGTTTTTAAAGATAAAACTAAAAATATTAACCTGTAGTAAATGGCATGGTGAAATGAAATGCTGCGATCTTGTTTTACAACAAAAAACATCTTTAATTTGTCGCTTTTTTTTTGGATTACTATTTTGCTAAAGTTGTTTGTTAAGCGTCACCAGCTGAAATTTAGTATGACCATTTTGCTATATGTGGCATCAGTATTAATATGTGCTCTGTAATTAATCGTACGGATACCATTTTGCTCTCGTTGTGGCTTTTTGGTCTTAATTGTTAATATCAAAGAAGGTTTCAAATTAAAAAAAATTGTGTCTATGTAGACGTAGAATAGTAATGACGATTTTATTGCATATCTAAAACGTAACACACTTGTATTATGGTAGAAATATACATATATCCAGGGACCTAATGAATACATTTCGGTTACGCTACGTTCTGAAATTCTAATGCATCTAGGGATTATGACTAATGGCGTTGCGCTGTTTGTCGCAGATAGGGCTCAATTGTACGTTTATGTTTCAGCATACCGACAAATGCCCAATTTTTGGATTATTTGTTTAATTTGGTACAATTTTAAATAGTAATAATAATAACGCAACAATAGCCTCGCACTAGGGAAACCCTGTGTCACGTGTGCCATGGACACACACATATGTGGATACACCTATATGTTGTCTATACAACCACTAATTTCACCCAAATTCATGAGGGAAATAAATGTAGGCCATACACATATTTTTGCCGGCATGGGAATCGAACCCAGGACCTCTGCATGGCAGTCCAGTATGCTAACCGTACGGCCACGGAGGCAGATATAAATAAATAAATACTCGAGTAATAAATATGGTACAACTATATACTACAAATAATACTTTTCCTTAAATAAAATTTAGGCGCTATTTATAAAAATTAATGTTCATGCGTGATCAGCCACCCTTAGAGATGGATGATTTTCTTCAAAATGAAATGGGACCACTATGGAGGTACCCTCTTTCCAACAAAAAAGAATCATGAAAATCCGTTTATAAATACCGGAGGAGCGTAACATACATACAAAAAAAAACATACAGTCGAACTGACAACCTCCTCCTTTTTTTGACGTCGGTTAAAAAAAAGAAATCTTCGAGATTTTTTGTTTTTTGTTTTGACGATCATAAATATGTAATAAAAAAAATGTGATTGTGTTCCCGTACTCTCCACTCTGTTCTCCGTCAGTGATAAACTAAATAACTATGGAATACACTAAAGTGTAGGTAAGGTAGGTGTTAGACCAGCTGTAAATCCAGTCTAAGATTAACAATTTAATGCAAAGTACATTGGTTCGACATTTGGCTACGAACTTCGAGATTTAATGATCAGAATAATTAGACAGCTTACGCCTGTAGTCCGCATTTTGCGATTAGACGATCGAACAAACGAAATAGATGCTGAACAGACTCTATTCTCGCAATATGGTTGTCGCATATGGGGCACCAGATGGTCGAGCGGAATTTCAAGATACTTTAAACCAGAGTATATACGTAATATTGGTAATGGGTCTGAGTTTCGGGATGGCTTGCTGTTAAGAAGTAGAATACAACAATCTCTATGTATTATTACTTATGTGGTCATAATGGGACCTAAAGGAGAGCATTGTATCAAAAATGACACCTAAATCACGCACAGTGCTTACACGATCCAGCGCCTCGCTGTTAATGTCATAAGCATAATTGCCATGGCTTTTTGTTTCTGCTGAAAGTGACGACGTGTTACTTCTTGGCTTTGTTGTTCTGACCAGATTGAATCGAAGAGCCAAACAATCATACAAGGCATGAGATCTTAATGTCTATAGTGGATACCAAACATTCATACATGGTGAAACCCGAAATATCGTTAATAGAAGCTGTGAAGAACAAAGAATCGAGATTTGATCCACAAAGCACACCTAAAATATCTTTTTTATGATATCACGCGATGGAAGGAGCAAATCTGCCATGACAAACGAGTGCCATTTGATTTGTTTTCTTCGCTTGTAGATGGCGAAACAAATGTCAAAAGTGTATAATTCGATCACAGGATGTAAGGAAATTTTCAGAATCGGATGTTGTATATTTCGTTTATAGTTTTTGTTTACTATTAAACAAGAAATAGCAACAAATAGGTTGTTAAAACGAAAAATATCTTCACTTCATTGATTTTAGGGCCGGTTCAGACGACCAACATTAGACGCGCGTTTTATTCATTAATATCTGTATGCATTCGCATGCTGACGCCCGTTTATTTATTTTTTTATTTATTTAAATCAGTTCATCAATATACTAATAATCAGTCATTAATATAAATCTTAAGAACTAACACACGTAAAATATAATTTAACATAACATAACATAACATAACATAATATACAAGGTAAATAACTAATCTACAAGAAGTACATTTGTGGCGTCGTGTGGCGCTTTCTGGTGATGTACCGTACATCATATCTAACAACACTGGCCAGAACAAACTCCCTTGGTTTTCCATTTATTATAAATAGAACCGCGATCCCAGTGACTTTTTAATCTAAGGACATTAATTAAAATTAATGGCAAGAGTTACCTGATACTAAAAAGCGCCACACGACGCCACAAATGTACTTCTTGTAGATTAGTTATTTACTTTTTATATTATACTATGTTATGTTATGTTCGAATGGCTATAAAAGTGGGAGATAGGCTTCAAAGCCACAATTTAATAAAAAAATTACATCCAACGCTAAACGGTAGGTTTTTTTAATAGACTTAAAACTAAATAATATTTTAGCAAAATCCCTTTTCGTGTCCAACAAAAATCTAAAACGAAAATCGGGACAGACAAGTCCCGTGCAAATCGGGACACCTGGCGTCACTAATCCTAGCGCCCATTTCTCTGACAAAATTTTATTTAAAAATTAATTAATAAATGTTTTATAAAAACACGGATTTACCTAGCTAATTCAATGGTTTAGCAGCTACGTTGCTCAAAGTATTAACATACAAGTATTTTAGAGCCTATACACACGACGTTTTTTTACACGCAGATGACACGCGTTAACGCGATTCAGTTGCAGTCAGTAAAGCTTTTGAACGCGTTCACAAATTTAGTATATCGGCTCTACGGCGACATGAACGCGCGGTCGAGGAATGCGCTTGAAAATATGCCGTGTGTTTAATCTACTCTAGAATTTAAGCTGTTCATGAATGTCAGACCTACCGCTTCTCTAGCAGAGGGTTTGAATCCGGGCTTGCACCTCTGAGTTTTTCGGAATTTATGTGCAAAACTCAATTCGAAAGGACGTGTACCGAATTAGTATGGACATAGGTACCTTATTCTCAGAAAGCTTTAACCAGCCTCAATTTTTTTGTATTAATTCTAGCAACACACTAAAAAAAGTCCAAAACGCAGCAACACTTAAACGCCAAAACATTCAAAATCTTAATTCTAATTGGCTAATTAAATTGCAACAAGAATGACTTTGACATGTGATCAGCCAATATTTTTTATGGCATTGGCCACTGGCCCAAAAGCCAAAAATACTTAAAAATCCGTTCCGTTTCGTGGGATTGCGTTCCGTTTTACTTTACATAGTATTAAAAATCGCTAACGATTTTCTGGAAATTGCAAGTCAAAAATAATTTGTTTTTAATTCAGACTTTCTAGATTTTGAGAGCTCTTTACAAAAAATCAACTAATAGCCTGGTTAAATTTTCCATTTATTTTAGTATCACTAAATGTAATGATGTGTGTGAAGTTCCCCATCGACGTTGGTGTCTACGTGGGAACCACAGCCCAAGTCCCATCAACTTTTGGTTAATTCATTATGTTTTGTAAAAAGTCATAGAACTAAAGTTGATGTTTATGATGTTAGTGATATAGCCCTGTGAGGTTGTTAGTATTTTACAAATAACGCTGTATAGTGTATGAGAAAATTGAGAACCTTCATTAAGAATACCTAGATAAATATAATCGTCTACTAAATCAGTCCAATGGGAAACTGAATCCGGGACATTATGTAGTGACTACAGAATTTATCACTACATCACTAAAGTTCTCATACAAGTACAATAACTGATTGTCATTCGTCGTACCTGTAATACAGTAAGGAGACGAGGGCATGCAGCAGCAGGTTGACGAGGTGGTAACCTGCCGGCTGGAGCCCGTGCACGGCGTAATTCCATCGGAATGTTAACACTGTCAGAGGGCGATACGATTTGTGAGATTGTTCCTGTAACAAGAAAAAAGTTATAGGTTAAGAGAGTGCAGAGTTATATGTCACTTTTAGTTAACAACAACTCGATAGAATGTATGTCATTGACTTGTTAACTACTAGTACGAAGCGCTTCGCTTTTACCTGCCTAAGGGTGTCATTACACGTATTGGATCGGATTGAGTCGAGCCGATCAGAGTGAAATTATTGCTAAGTTGGCCGTTTCAATTCCGCTCAGACAGAAACGCACGTCTATTTCGTGCATATTCCAGTAATGAGTAATGCCGGTCATCCTTCGACTCGTGTTGATTACCTACTAATCGTGACAATTTTTATTATTTAAGTATTCGATTTTTTTATCGCGCAATTATTACTTAATATTCGAGTATTGTATCATGAAATATTATTTAATAATTACACGATAATATATTTGAATATTTAAATAATAAAAATTGCCAGGGAAATTAGGTAGTGAACACTAGTCCGAGAAAGACCGATGCATCTTCCACTAATCCACTTAACTCGCAATTAGGAGAATTGTTTTTTTTTTCATTAAGAAAGCAAAACTGTTTAAGGGAACGTGTCCGGATCTCATCGTTAGTGCAATGACAATTCGTTTTACTTGTTACAAATTACATTATAATGAAATAAATTTATCTTTGTTTATGTTTTTTGATAATAAATACACGTAAGCTAATGTTTTAAAATAACATAATACATCATATTATACCTGACTGAAATACCTTTCGTTGGATACGAGTTATCACTGCACAGGAAATTCTTTTGAACAATTATAATGATTTTTATTGAACATCGTTATATCTTTTTGTTCTTGTAGTAGGTACTTTCCTTTATATTCATTGACTACTTTATTTTTTTAGATTAATCATGTTCATAATACATTATATATGAGACAGCTGGTGCTTGCCACTTCATCTGAGTAGAATAAGTACTTTGAGTAGCCTTCTGCACTACAGTAATTTTCAATTTCATTGGTTCCTTATTCAAACTTTCATTCCCTATTTCACTCTCCTTAAGACGTATTTTTGTGTCAAAAAGTAGTCTATGTCCTTCTTCTAAGTCCCATCTATCTCTATACCAAAATTCATCAAAATTGGTGCAGTGGTTTAGGCGTTAAAAGTCTGAGTTATTTTCGCATTCATAATATTAGTTTAATATTAATTAATCTATTCGAATCATCAAAATATATACATAATAATAATTATCATAGCTGATAGGTACATAAAAACATATACAAAAACTAAATGACTTGTAGGGGGAGCTATAGCCAGCAGATGTAATATAAATCGAATATGTGTATAACATATGAGGTTAACCAAGTTATTGACATATATATAAACATTATTATTATTTGCTATTTGATTCAGAGCGAAAACGCCGACGACGTTAGATAACATAAAACGAAGCTACGAACACAACGCAGAGACTGGCTACGCTCGTAGCATTTCCTACGCCTCACATAGAATATAACGAACAATGCTACGAAACTGTTTAACAAAAAACGGACTCAATGTCTTAACAAAAATTGTTGTTCAAAAATCCGAGGTAAAAATAATATTACGTCGAACTTTAGCCCGGCTAAAGGGTTTACATAAACAAGGAAACATTGGAATGACGTAAAGAGTGACAAAATATTAAAGATACAACTTTTATGAACGCTCGGCGAAGTATGAAATAACTCTAACTTGAGATTTACGGAGGAAAAGCTCCACAGACTCCGTAAATTGTTCTATACAGGACGACATCAAAATATCACTGTTAATAAAAACTTTCGTTCGTTCGTGAAAGACGAGAGTACGAATGTTTTCATTATTTATTACCTGGAATAAGTTATAACACGTTTAAAGTGTTGTCGTGGTGACTCCATTTTCGTTACATGCCTGGAAAAATAATGTACAGGGAAATCATTCGGAGAATCGTGATTATTTTTTATTGCATATCGTTTTAGCTTTTTACGTACAGGCGTAACATTTGTTTTTTCAAACAAACCGACGTTTCTCATTACTACTAACTATTGACTAATTAATATGTGTTAGTTTATTCTAATTTCTATTATTAATTAGTAATAAATTGAACTTAATAAAAATTCATTCAACAAAATAATTTGTAAAACTTAATGTAGCGTAAATTGGAATGTATTCTTTGTAAAATTAAAAATAAGGTATTTAATTAATAACTATTATAATTAAGTGAAAAAATAGGGTGGTTTGCATTAATATTAGACATAACTGGTTGAAGACTGTACCACCTCAGTCAATCGTGACCATGGGACCTGTAAAGGGCCAGAAACGTCGGTTTGTTTGAAAAAACAAATATACGCGATTGAAATCCGGAAAAATAGTTTCAGTTCCTAGATATATCACCAGTTTGGATTTTGTGTCTCCATCAAACTGATCTAGTTTTGTACGGATCAGAGATTTCATAGTGCTTCAGTATTACGATATTTTCCCGTATATTCACATGTCTGCTCCAAATGTTTTTGACATATATTTTTTAAATAATATAGATTAACGCATTGCCGCAATCACAGTTTATATGTATAAAGCTGCCGCTTTTAAAACTATAGTGAAATAAAAACTTTACACTAAAGGTTATTTATTATACAACTTCTGCGAACTTGGACGACAAAAATCTGTGGTAGTAACCCGTTTAGCTCATGGAGGTAGCCTCGATCTCTGATGTTTGATAAAAAAATAATTGGAAATGTAGTACAAATGTTATTTACAAAGAGCAACCCCTAGAGTTTCTTGCTCATTCTTCTCAGGCGGATCTGCCTTACGAATGAGCGGTAGAGAGTGACGATTTGAAGTGTAATAATGCTTACTAATTAAATAAAGATTATTTTGATTTTAACAAAGAGGACAATAAGGTTTGACCATATATTTCATTAATACAAGTAAACAGTATTCATAAAGCTATGAGTCCCATAAAATGATTCATGGCCGTACGAAATTAGCAAGAGGCACGGCAATAGCGTTCTTTAAATGAAATTCCACGTCAGGTGCCGGCCAGTGTAATGGCGGGCGTTTATCACCCGCACAATATGCGAGTGCTAATAAATACCTCCAGGCTTGCCAGATTCCTAGAGGTTATAACAGTTACAGCCACTACACGAAGACCTCTTAAGGTTACAGTCCTGCAAACGCGCTCCTTGCAAACGAAGTTTGGGCCAATTTTGATAATTACTTGTCAAAATCAATGATTTACAGTAGCCACGATGGATCTCCGGTGAGAGTATATCGAGGGCCGCGGTTTGACAGTTTTCAGTTAATAATTTGACTGAAAACTGTCAATATAAAGTTCCAATATACAGGCTTAAAAACTGACGAGGAATAGCTTCTTCAAGACCATGCCATTTTAGCGGCAGTAGAGCTTCTTGTGAAACAGTTCGTCCAGGGAAGTACTACCACCTTACCTATTTCTGCCGCCATGCAGTGATGTTAGCATTGCTGTGTTCCTATTTTGAAGGGTAAGGGTGCTGTTGAAATTACAGGCACATGAGACTTGTCAACTTACGTCATTGCGTGACGGGCGCAGTGGTAGAGTACCACAGATCTATGCGATTTCTGAATGGCACTGCAACTGTTATAGACAGGTGTGTAGCTTACCATCAGGTGCACGACTTGTTCGTCCTGTCACTTGATAATAATAATAATAATAATAAATAACGCACACACTCAACATAGCCCCGCACTAGGGAAACCCTGTGTCGCGGGTGCCATGGACACACACATAGACAACCACAAATTACATCCAAACTCACGAGAGAAATAATTGTAGGCCATACAACTATTTCTCCCGGCCCGGGAATCGAACCTGGGACCTCTGCGTGGCAGTCCGGCATGGTAACCGTTAGGCCACGGAGGCAGTTATATTATAAAAAAAACCATATAATATTTTCCACGTTTTTTACGTATTTTGAAAAATTATGAGCAAAGAAAATATAATAAATCGTGAGAGAACGCGGAGTCGACTTAACATTTCGGCTGTGAACTGGCAACCGGTACTATCTCAATTTTGACAACTTTACAGGAGGAAGAAAAAAATTGTATATATATAGCATCTGGTTTATTAAATAAAAATACGTAATGTATGTGTAATAAAAATATTTGAAAACAAAAATAATATTTTAATAAATCAGAGGCTATATAAATGACGCAAACAATTTTTTTTCTTTCTCCTGGAAAGTTGTCAAAATTGAGATAGTGCCGATTGCCGGTTCACACTCGATTTGTCGTATAAGCCGATTGGCCGTCGACACAGCCGATCGGGCGTCGACGTGGCCGTTCGAGTGTCGGTGTCGCACAGTGGGCCCAAATTGATAATTTTGACAAAGGAATAACTTGTGGAGTATTTTTTTTAATATGATAAATAATAATATTCCTAACAACTTTTATCCATGTATAATTTCTTAAAAGTTGATAGTTTCGGAGAAAAAAAATATTTTTTCTGATCGGCTTAAAAGTGATATCGTGTCGGTAAAAGTAAAAAAAAACATAGCTGAATCTTTGGTTAAACAATTACTATTGACATAAGCTGAATTCTCGATTATTTCTTACATACAGTTATAATTATTACTTACAGTTGAAAGTTTAAAAAATACTCGCTTGTAAATAATACACAATTTATTATGGAATAGAATAGAATACGTCGTACATCTGGTTTTCTGCTTGCAATTTAATATATTTTTTTAGAAAGGAAAGACGAGAGTTGCAGACGGCAATGAGATATATATTCTCTTTTTAATTTCCCGTATCCATTTCGCAGGAGTCACCGAATAAAAAATAGCGTGAAACTACTCGATACTATATTAAAATGTAGGTAACAGAGACGTATTCGATTTAAATTGTTTAATTATCATTATCACAGGTCTTCGAAAAGTTTTATGAAACGTCTTGCTTTGGTATGTTTCATCGCCATGCCTACTTCACCGCTGAAGCAAGTGGCAATTAGTATACTAACATTTGTTAAGATGACGGCGCAGGTGCCTCAGTGGG